AGGACTACACTGAAAAACAGGCAGATCTCCAGCATCTACAAACAAGGGTGTTGATGGAAGCAGCACAGCTGATATTTCTCTCCACTGCAAGACAGCAGTGCTACCCACTGCCCAACTGTGCAGCCACACAATAACCCAATTAAAGCAAAGTTTTTATTTTGTTTTTACAATTTAGTTCAATATTTTAAATGTAAAAAAAATTAACTGGCCACAAAAAAATAAATCTGAATCAATTTTAAAGAAAGTATTGGTTAGGGGTCAGTCATTGCTAGTCTACTACAGGAAAGAAAAGAAAACACTTATTTTAACTCTATTGTTACTTTTTATAAATATTTCATGAATCTAAAATAGCTTTTTAAATCATATCAGTTCAGTGCAAACTTATTCCATTCATGTTTGTCAATCTAATGTTGAATTGAAGAAGATCAAATGAAGTCAAGCCTCCTTAAAGGATCAATAAAGGCCTTTAATTGAGCATCTCTATTTCTAGCTGCCTCTTCCTCAGTCACCAAAAGTGGCTTATTGGTTAATTTGACATAGTTCAGTTGTTTTCATACATTTTGTTGTTGACTTTTGGTCCCTGTTTTAGTAATATTAATTGATACAACCTTTTCCAACATTCTAGGGTATAAAATAAAAGAAAAAAATAGAAATGTAACTTTATTGATCTCACAATTGAGAAAATAACTCTCTGCATTGAACCCATCCCCTTGGGGAGCAGTGGGCTGCCACTGTGCAGCACCCGGGGAGCAGTGTGAGGTTAAGGGTCTTGCTCAGAGACCCAGAGTGTCGCCTGTGGGGATTGAACTGGGTACTTGCAACCTTCTCAGAGCAAAAGTGCAATGCTCTATGGTACCAGCTTTTATTACTTATTAAGTAATAAAAGCTGGTACCATTTGTGCTAACATCCTATTGGGTTAATATTGGTATCGGAAAATTCTCAAAGCTGCAATGAGCTGGAGCAGAGATAATAGCCTGATCCTGAATATGAAAAAGACAAATCAGATCATCACTGACTTCAGGAAGAACCGGCCTAACCACGCTCCACTGCTCATCAACAGCTCAGCTGTAGAGGTGGTCAACAGCACCAAATTCTTGGGGGTGCACATCACAGACACTCTCATGTGGAATGTAAACACCACCTCATTGGTCAAAAGGGCACAAAAACTCATGAACTTCCTGGGGGGGATGAGGAGAGCCCACCTGCCCCCACTCATCCTCACCACCTTCTACAGAAGCACCATAGAGAGCATTCTGACCAGCTGTCTCACTGTGTGGTGTGGAGGGTGCAGCGCCTCAGACTGGAAGAAGGTGAGAAGAGCAGTAAGAACAGCAGAGAAGATCATTGCGGCTCCTCTTACCTCCATTAAAGACATTTCATCCCAGCACTGTTTGTCCTGAGCCCGTAACATCATGAATGACCCCTCACACCCCCACCTGGGCCGTTCCCCCTGCTGTCCTCCGGGGAGGGGGTTCCC